AGTGGTCATTGAAACCCACATAAACCAATCGTCCCTTCGGATATATTTATTGACAGCCTTGACATAGGCTGCAATGCTTAACTGCAGATTGCAGCCCCTCATAAAGAGCAGTCTTCCAAGTTTTCTACTTTTTTCTACACATTTTGAATTTTGATTTTTCTCCCTCCAAATTTTGCTTATTTTCGCAAAATAGTTTGCTTCTGCAGTTCGAAGTAACCCAAATTCACATCTCCTGCATGATACTGACAAACTGCGCAACACTTTTCACGCCTTGCAAACTATGCACACAGACAGTTGGGAAGAGAAAAGTCTTAAGAAACAATTACATTAATCACAACGAGTTTCACCAGCGAATTCTCCAACAGCTGCAGGATCAAACCTGAGGCCTGATCAAAGATCACCAACGAAGTGCACAAAGAAATTACAACGAAAGAGATGCAAGCAGCTCGAGAATAAAAGGCCTAGCAGAGCTGTGTCTGATTTATGTGTGCTCAGCTATATTTGCATACTACATCCGCAGGTCGGAGGACCTTCTTCAAAGCTCCAGCAATATTAGATGAATTTAGAATATAATTAACATAAAGAAAAACACACCTTTAAACTGCTGCATAAGATCAGGCCTCTGAAATAATAAAGCGCCTTTAGCGAGATATTCGAAATATGAATCGACACCAGCACCAATGCCGGCATCTGTCGCCACCCATTCACCAGTTTCCACATTGATATGATTGCCCACCAAATTCAGCGGCGAGCGCAGCTTCCACAGCGCACCAAGAGCCTTGTGCGCCACACGTTCATAAAGCGGATTGCCCAAAAAAAAAAAAAAAGACAAACTCTTCTCTCCAGTAATTCATGGCAGAAACTAACAAAAACTTTTTTTGCAAGAAACGAGTAAAATGTTTTACCGGTGATACGAGAAAGTGCACCAAATTCAAGTAGCATAGTACCAATGCCAGCAGTGCATGTCACAGCTGTTTCCTTCTTGTGCAGTCCGTATCTAAAACCAGCAATTCATATTAAAAATAACAGCACTAAAGCGACTGCAAGCTTTTGATTACTGATTAAGACGGAAACAAAAAATTTCCAGCAATTATCAAATCTCGATTCGGCTTGGCCGGCATTGCGAAAACTCT